GCCGATATATTCATGGAGGATTTCGAGGAGAAAACCCTCCTCACTGCACCTGTGTATCCTAGATTCTACAAGCGGTACGTAGATGACACTTTCACAAATTTACCATCAGACAAAGTTTCTGCAATCTTAAATAACCTTAACTACATAAACTCTAAACTTCAATTCACTATGGAGTTAGAAGCAAATAATTTCTATTTTCTTTTCTTATTTTTTTATTCTTTAGCTATAATATGATATAGTAAATTATAATGTTTTAGTCATTCAAAAATCCCAATAATACCATCAGTCATACTGTGTAAAGAACAAAAACCCATACCATACCCTATGCAAATTGTAAATACCAAGAGAAATAAACTATTATTATTATTTATACTACGTAGTACCATTATTTATTCTATGCCAATACTAACCGATATTTAAACGGTTAATCTCACAGTTAACTACCGTGGGGTACTCCTATTCGAACGGTGCAACCGAATTAATTTTCAATGAGTAAATTGTGAGTTTTATTTCTCAAATTTATCTTCTAGTATTCAATGAATTAAAAGTAATTAGAACGTCATATAAATTAAAATTAAAAAATATGCAATGAAGATTTTAACGAATACTGTTAAAATCTTCATTCCATGTTTTTCCACCCTTAGGGATGATTTTTTTTATATTTATATGAGACTAACCCTGAAGTACTACCTAATTAATAAAGTCGGGTCGGCCGTTTCAGAGGCTGAAGGAGAGAAATAGGTAAACGTACGTAAAATACATATGAGTCGAATACAGAAACGACTCGTTTTTTATTGAATTCGGTTTATTAATACATGCATACATAAACACTCACGCCTGTCACCCAGAGGGGTAGGCAGAGACTACGGACTTCCATTTGGCACGATCTTGAAATACCTCTTTCGCCTCCTTTACATCTATATAACGCATACATGCTCGTCGGTTAAGGGTACTTCTAATGTGGCCAATTTTCAAAATATCGCCAATTTGGTTGATAAAATTTCTTCTAGGGCGTCCCTTCCCTGCCTGTTCCCTGTCTGCCGTTCACATCTGCCATATAAATTTACTTTGTCACTCTTTCCTCATTCATACTCTCTACATGATCAAGCCACCGAAGCATTCGTTTCTTAATCCTGGTCACAACATCATCTTACATACCACATTTATCTCTTATCATGCAATTTCTCACCCTGTCTTTCAGATTCAACCTTAGCATACTCCTTAAAGACCGCATTTCTACAGTACTTATTCTACTTTCGTGCTTCTTCTGCCACACCCAACTTTCACTACCATACATTAAAGTATGGACTAACACAGCATTATGAATTACCATACGTGCTTTTTTGACACATTCTGATTACTCATAATAGAGTGTAGTGCCCCAATCACTCTATGCCCTGCATTTACTCGTCCATCCATCCATTAACCATCCCTGATAAATTTACATCCCAAATACACGAACTCATCCACTTGCTCAATTAACTCCCCTCCTATTCTTATTTCACATACCGTTTTGCTTTCTTCTCTTTGAATAACCATCACTTTCATCTTATATGCGTTCACTTTCGTTCCCCTTTTTTTTTAATGCCCAGTTCATTACATTCCATGTAACCATCATTTGCAACTCAGCCGCCGACGACGTAAATATGACTTGATCATCGGCGTACGAAAGGCATTTTGAGTTAAAATTTAAAATTTGTAAAATTGTATGGGAAGGTACTGATATCCTAATATACAGGATTTATCCTAGTTTAGGAATCAGTGCAACATTTGTTTTGTAACTTCTTAAGTTTTTAATAAAGATTATTATTATTATTATTAGGGGGTATCAATATAGTTCTCTCATCTGGTTGAGTTCTATAAATATATAATTATAAATGAAAATGAAAAGATAAATATACATAAATATCAATAACATAAAATAAATATAAAAATACATAAATAAGTAAAAGCTCAACCAGATGGAGGCCCTCGGCAGGGAAGATCAAACGGCCGAGGGTTAGGGGGAAAGGGAAAGAAACCGGCGGACGATGCGGGCGGTATCGAAGAGCACCGCCTTCTGCATTTGAGCCTGGAGCGTTCCACCACGTAGTCCCAGCCGCCTCAGATGACCCGAGAGTCTGACTGGGATTAGGGCGTTTGCAGAGACGACTACAGGAATAATTTCGGTCGGCAGACCACCCCACATGCCGGTCACCTCGTGAGCCAGGTCCAGATATTTTGTTTGCTTATCTGTTTCGGCTTTCACGAGGTTCTCGTCATACGGAATGGTAATGTCGACCAAAAATATCCTTGACTGTGCCTGGTCCATCAGCACAATATCAGGCTTATTCGCAAGATTAGTCCTGTCTGTGATGATGACCCGGTCCCAATAGAGCCTGGCGCGATCATTTTCGAGCACGGCTTCCGGCAAGTACTTTTAATACGGCAATTTCCAATCCACTAGACCGTATTTCAGAGCGAGCTCCTGGTGATGAATTCTGGCTACTAGGTTATGCCTGTGCAAGTACTCAGAGTTAGAAAGCGCCGAACAACCGGAGATGACATGCCTAAGTGACTCACCGGGATCACGACAAGCTCGACAGATGTCGACGGTGCTATCCTTTAGGATATATCTCCGATAGTTGTTGGTCTTAATAACCTGATCCTGTATTGCACAGACAAAACCCTCGGTTTCCCCGAAGAGATCACCAAAGGGTAGCCAGTGGTGGCTACTGTGTCTACGAAAGGCTCATGTAGAGCCTTGTAGAACCTCCCGTGGAGCTCCTTCTCCTTCCATAGGGTCTCCCGGTCGGAAATGCTCTGCACTGCCGGGTCTTGCCATTGCTCGTTGGCTAAGGATAGAGGGGAAAGTCCTTTATCACAAGAAATGACGTCCTTATAGAATGGATCATCCGATCTCGCCACAAAGTAATCACGGAGGTTGCACACTTCGCGATTATGCATGGTGAGCGCGCTCAAGAAGCTACGCAACGCTACGCTTTCGCGGCAAGTACAGCCTCATTACTGACGATCTCGGATGATGAATCCTATGGGACGTCATGGTAGTGCGAACTTTTCTATCCAGGGCGTTGAGTTCAGTCTGAGTCCACCTGAGTATGCCAAAGGTATACATGAGGACAGGCATGACCTAGCCGTTATATGCGTGTGCCTTATTCACACCGGACAAAAGGCTGTTAAGCACTTTGGTCAAGCGTGCATAAAACACGTCGCAAACTGACTGTTTCATACCAGCCTCATCGATACCGATGTTATGTGACATACCCAGGTATCGGTATGTTTCAGCCTCGGAAAGGGCCCTTAAGTTGACGGGCATAGATAAGTGTATGCCCTCCGAGTTAGCAACCCTTCCCCCTTCAACATGGAGGACCGCACACTTTTCCGTCCCCAGCTCCATTCCAACGGAATTGCTAAATTCACAAGTGATGTTTAGCGATTCCATAAGATGGGAGCCACTGAAGGCGAATAACTTGAGGTCGTCCATATAGAAAAGGTGGTTCACTTTTGTCCCTCCTTTCCGTAGCTGAAATCCTCTCCCGGAGCCCTCCGGTGAGGTACTGAGAGGGTTCAGAGAGAGGTAGAACCAGATTGGACTCAGACAATCGCCCTGGAAGATACCGCTCCTTATCCTTATGTGGTTCTCCGCAGCCACCATCCGCTCGCCCAGATGACAAAGGATCGTACTCCACTGCCCCATACACTGCTCGAGGAAGTTTCTAACTATACAGTCTATCGTGTACAGCTCAAGGACTCTCTTTAGCCATGTATGGGGCACCTAGTCGAATGCCTTTCTGTAGTCTATCCAGGCGGCGGAGAAGTTTAGACGGTTGCGTTTCACAACTTTGTCAATGACCGCGTCAATGAGGAGTGGTTCCTTGGTTCCACGACCACCACCCCGACATCCATTTTGAGCGTGCAACATCACCTGATTTGAGTCCAGGTGACGAGTGATTCTCGCGCTCAAAATGGATGTTAGTGTCTTGTATATGGTCGATAGACACGTGATGGGGCGGTATTTGCTCAGGTCTGTGGTACCCTGGTCTTTAGGAACCAAATGGGTGATCCCAGTAGTGAAGAGGCTTGGGAGCGATTTCTGGTTGAGAGCATCTTGAAACTGTCGGGCGAGCAGTGTGACACACCACGAACCCCTTCAGCCAGTAGTGATGCAGCCCGTCGAGTCCCGGACTTTTCAAGTTCGGGGCCCTACGGACCGCCTAAGCTACGTCATCCGGTGTTATAATGACGGGGTCCATGGGCGTTATACATACTCGCACTGACTCGCCACAACTTCCGTCCAAGGGCCCCCGCTGTGGTTTACGGGCTCCGACCACAGGCCGCACCAGAATGCTACAGTGTCGGCCTGATTCGGTGCTGGGCCCATTCCACTTACCATTGGTCGCTCCAATGATTCATAGAGCCTCTTCTGATCACTCTGGAAGAAACGATTCTGGTTGAACCGTGTCGAACTCTCGGTATATCACACTTTCCCCAAGTACCGATTCTCTGCTTCAGATCATCTATGCGCTCCGTCAGTTTTTGCGTTATATCCGGCTGGGACAAACTGACATTTGTCCCAGCAAACGCCATCCTGACGGTGCGCACAATTCTTGGCCTGTTATTGCCTGATCTGAAACATATCAGTCTGCCGATGAGAGCTCTAGCCTTTGCGATACGTTCCTCAATTCTTCTTCTCCATGCTGGGATAGCGCTACTCTGGCCAATAGCACGTCCAGCCGTGGAAACCTTGGCGCGTATGATACGGCAGACTGCCAGCGCGACTGCCAAAAAGAATTGAGTCCGTCTCGCAAAGGTCCCGGCTGGCTTCCAAATAGGACACCAGCATTGGGTTCAGAGCCCTCACGACAGCCCAATTCCGCTTGCTTAGGGCTATGCTGGGAAGTCGCGGTCGATTTTCGAGAGGCGTACTGCGCGTTTCCACAATCGCCTCTTCCAATGTACTCCTCATATGCTCTAATTCCAGTTACTGAGCGACTGTTCCATCATCGTTTGACAACCACAACTGGGGTATTCACGGTGGCATCCACGTTTGCGGGTTGCTTTATAATTTGTGGCACCGCATCCTCAGCCGTAGCATTTTCATCCGATGAGGGAACAGCCTCACGTCGTAGCCGTTGGAGTGCGGCGACATCAAATATATTTGAGCGCAGGATATACCGAACTCGGTCTGTCAGGTTTTGCTCTGTGACGGTTAAAGATGGCTCCAGCTCAGCAAAAAGACGATGCATCCTAGCCCGATACGAAAAAAATCCAGTTTCTTCCCCTTTTGCCCTAAAGTACGCCCGCAGGCGTTTGCGTTCATTGCTCGTGACCAACGCATGCGAAGTGCTCCACCAGCGGCGGGTGCTGCTTGCTGAGTCCGAGAAGACCCAGCCGACATCGAGCCTTCTGGTGGGGATGATGGATGCGGAGGGCTGCTATGTGACCGTGCAGTTCCTCGCACTTGGCTGGCGGCCCGCATGCTGCTGCGTCCAGCGCCAGCTCCAGACGCGCCCCGGCGACCTCTTTCGCGATATCTTTTTATCCATCATCCATTATTTGGGCGTCCATTAACGGGAGACGCCCAGGCCCGACACCGTATCGTGTGTTATTATTATTATTATTATTTGATGGTTAACTCGCCCATTCTTAACCCACATTCTTTATGTTTCAAAGTTTGCCAACAACAGTCCATAAATAGGTTGAACAGCCAAGGGGAAGCTACACAGCCCTGTCTGACACCTTTTTGGATGCTAAACCAGTCAGAGTAGATCCCTGTTGATCCTGACACTAGCACTAGAATCCCTATAAAGAGACCTTAGACCTTAATGCCTGAATCAAACCAGCGCTCAAACCATATGAGTTCAGTTTTTGCCATAAAACAGTCCTGTCCACTCTGTCATAAGCCCTTTCCAATTCCATGAACGCACAAAAAACTTTCTGTTTTTTTTGGCCAAAAACTTTCCCGCAATCATACGCATGGTAGAGACTTGATCTGTACACTCCATTCCCTTTCTAAATCGCGCTTGCACATCCCAAATTTTTCCATCAGTTTCTTTCATAACTCTTATAATTAACACCTTAGCATACAGTTTACCCACAATACTAAGCAAGCTGATACCACGGTAGTTTTTGCGGTCTTGCTGTGACCCTTTTCCTTTATATATTGGTACTATAACTGCTTTACACCAGTCTTCCGGTACCCGTCTTAATTCTCAACATAAATTAAACAAGGTGTACAGCAGGCCTGCCACCATTCTCTCTCCAGCCCTTAACATCTCGAGTGATACTCAGATCAGCTGCCTTACCTGCTTTCATACTTTTCATTGCTTTCATTATGTCATCTACACTTATCTCCGTACCCCTTTCTTTCTTTCTTTCGGAATTTCTAGTTCATTTAATTAAGACGATTCTACGCTCATAAACTCGCTTTCAAAGTATTCCTTCCATCTCTTTAAATTCGAAACTTCGTCACTCCGAATACATCCATTCTCGTCTCTTAAAGCATTAATTATAAGCTGTTTTGTATTACCATTGGCAGTTCTTACGAGTTTCCAGAACATTTCGAATTAGCCTGAAAGTTATCAGATATCCTTCTATTATTCTTATCCATCCTTTCTTGCTTTATCCTTTCAACTACTCTTTTACTCTCTTATTTAGACGCCTAAATTCTGCCTTTTTTCTTTCAATCTCATCATTCATACCAGAAGAATTATCAGCTTTGGTTGCTAGTAAATCTAACCATGCTTTCTTCTTTACTTCAACTTACACCCATACCTTATCATCCTACCACAACGTATTACTTTTCCTTTCATTTGTTCTCTTACTTACACACTAAACTTCGGCGGTTTATTAATACTGTTGATAATATTGACGTAATGTCGACGAAGCAGAGAAGAAGACGACGATGGATAACGAGATAATGACTATTTTACCCGAATTTAAAAAATGAAGAAAGTTTTCAACTCAACCGTCCATTTTTGGGGTTCCGTCCCCAAACAAACGGGACTATTATTATATATTACTAAGCCCCCGCTGTCCGTCCGTGTGTCCGTCCATACGTCGGTCCGTTCGTCCGTTCGTTCATCCGTCCAACCGCCCGTTCGTCTGTCTGTCAGCGGGCTGTATCTCATGTTTTGTAATAGGTAGACAATTGAAATTTTCACAGGTTTTGTATATTTGTTGCCGCTATAACAACCAATAATAAAAATAAATTAAAACGTAAAGGGAAAGGAATTAAAACTTGAGCCCTGCTTTATACAAGAAACGTGATTTTATGATGGTACTGACCCTTCATGCGTGAGTCCGACTCGCACTTGGCCGATTTTTTAAATGTATTTTACGTAATATCTTTTTCAATTATAAACTGAAATTTACGATTCTTTTTTTATTAAATATAATTCAGGCGTGATACCAAATAAAAAAAATTCACAAAAATTCCACCCTTTTAGGCTAGGTAATGGAGATGAAGCTTGTGATATTCCTTAGCCAATACTTAAAAGAGTCAAGGGATTTCTATAATATTAATTTTTATTTGAACTTAACTTTAATTTCATTTAAATTCTCGACTTGTCCATCATGACGTGACTAGACTATCAAGAAGGTTCAACCCAGGCTACCTTCAACTTTTAGTTATTGACTTTTGTCGTTGTGGCTATAACAGTAAGTCGGAGGCAGCTTTTGGTAGTTTATACAATTAAACTTTTTAAGTTTAAAAATTATGATTACAAAATTAGATAGTTATGGTCAGTAATGGCTTTTCAATCCTTATTTCATTTTACCTACAGCACGTTATACTGGGCTATAGCGATGATACGAAGATGGTTAACGCTCGCTATAAATTTCACAGTACAAACCAAGTTCTACCGGTCCGAGGTCCGAGGTCCCGCCGGCACCAACGATATTGCTAATTGTAATTTTAAGTGCTGATTTACCACGTGCTAAGCTATGAAGAAAAACACCGTAAGGAAACCTGAATATCTGAGAAAGAAGAAAAAATATTTTGAAGGCATGTGAAGTTCGCCAACACGCATTGGGGCAGCGCGGCACACACATCCTTGCCCCAAAATACTCAGAAATGAGGGGAGGCATGTGCCCAGGAGTGGGACTTATCTGGGATGTAACTTTAATTTTACATTGGGTAGGGAATTCGTTGGTGCTTCAACCAAGAGCTCAAACGACGGATCCAAAGATTACGACATATTTTCTTGTCATGTAGTCCTCAAAACTAGAAAACAAGGGCGAGAGTTACCTATGCTCGGAGTATTTCTATATGAAAGAATTCAAAATGAGGACATTTGTAGTCGAACGGATCAGTAAGCTGAAGTGATAATGTTCCGGAGATATAGCTCGAAGAGTCAATCGATAGGATAGAAAAGTCTCGAGTGGCAGCCTCGTGGTAAGCAAAGTGTCGTCCTCCATTAGATGGAGTGACGACCTTGTAAGACTGAGTCAGATGGCTCAGGACCCTGTTTGGAGGCATTTCTTGAGGGAAGCTTTTGTTCAGCACTGGACATGTGAGAGACTGATAATAGAACATCACTAATCAATGGTAAAACAAAACGTTGAATAGAATTTGACAAATAGCACTAAGAAATTCACTTGTTTAGTCTGATACTGTACATAATTTTATGACAAATTAGAACTGCATGCATATTCAGAGTGGAGGTGACATACATTTGAATATAATAATATTCAGACGTTTGTCACGGAAATTGAAATGAACAATAGTTTTGTATTTTAACTGCCGTTACCGTTACATCCTATTAAAGTCAATTTCTCCCTCTACGATTGCCTCATAGAGGGGGGGGGGGGATATTTACCATCGTTGATGAAAAAAAAATCGCATCCCGTCTCATTCAGCTGATCTATAGTGCCAAATACAGCGGAAACCTGCAGAACTCAACCGCGATAGAAGCTTGAGTGGCACTGTACTCCGGATTAGACAATGGTTCGAGGAGCCAAGTGGGGCATCGAAAGAGACCTGATCCGTTCGGATGAGAGATCAGCATAAGGTCCAGCAGGGAACGTACATAACCTTCCACATTTGAGATCCGCGTAGGCGAGGTAACCAGTTGTGTCATGCCATATGCCAAAGCAATGTCATAAACAGATCTACCAATATGATCGGTTAAACGAAAAATAAGCTATTTAGCTTGGTGGGCGTTTAAATCACCAAGCATCACGAGTTCTGTGGATGGAACTGTCAGCATTACTACTATGAGACCTATAGAGGTACCCGTAGATGAGGTGATGGTCGTCGCTGTACGCATTCATAGGACGGATAGGTCCGTACCTTCAAGACAGCCGAGGCATCGAAAACAGATGTCCTCTCTGACTTACACGCAAACTCCAGCCCAGGGCACAAAAATGTGTTCTAATTTGTACCCCGGGCACCTGTAACTCGGTTAGCAAAAGAAAGGCTAGCATCGCCGTTTCCAGATGGTAGTGGATGGCGTTAATGTTTGAATGAAGTTCCCTGACGTGGCAGAAATTCACGGGTAGCATGGCAGGGGGTGCTTTTGTCTTATTGACCCGTTTGCCCCGAGCAGGTTTAGTCTCGAGCGGAGTTTTGCTCCCTCAAAATACGCGGGGCAACCAGAACACCCACGCTGTGGAAGAGTGGGTTAGCTAAGGGCGTGGATGCTCAGCGAGGAATTCTCCGTCACCAGGGGTGCTGGTACCCTCCTGGGATATTATTCTATTCTATTCAGCTACCATGTTAAGGGAGGGAGGGGGGAGAATAGGGCCTCCGGCCACTTGTACTCACCAGAAGAAATGTATAAACAGAGCTTCTACTTCACGCTAGTCTTCTGTGTGGTCGTGGTTACCACCTTGGTTTGAGCTGGCCTTTACGTGCAACAGCAAAAGCTGCCGCGTGGCTCTACCACTGTTAAACCATTACCATGAATGTAAAGAAGTAACCGTTAAACCTATAAACATATTGTTGCGTGCCATAATTAATGCCTGTTATATGGCAAGTGTCCACTAGCGCCATCTAGTAACGAGTAGCAGAACTAGGAAAGCTGTCTATTCTGTACTGGAATTTTCTACACCTAGTCAGTCGGGATTGATATGTATTTGAACATTCTAAATGTCCTCGACCGAGTGAGTATTGAATCATTGATACAAGCGAATACTTCGAAGCGATTTAACTGCGAACTAAAGTGATCAGTGTGATTTCTTATTAGTGTGTTTTAAAGTTGTAATTGGTGATCGGTAATTAAAGTGTCAATTTTGGTAATTCAAT